AGACGAAGTCTGGCCATCTGGCTTCTAAGAAGTATACTGGGTGTACTTCTTCCAACAATGATTTGTTTGTGCTTATTGCAGTCCATGACACTTAACAACAACCTTCCCTGAAGAATTCTGCACTCTTCAATTTATACCGTGTCAAAATGGCAGTTTTGGCATCCACAAGGGACTGAAATCGTATTCCTTTGAAATGTTCTTTGAGCACAAGACCAGGGTTGTAGGGTGGATAGGGTAAGGTTTCCCAACAAAAATCGCAAAGTCCTTTCTACCCTCAAAGAATGAGCAGGTGCACTGTCACGAAGGGGTAAAAACCCATAACTCCTCAGTGCAATTTTTCTGGCTTTTTTCTCACAATGTGTTTTTTTGTTTGTTTGTTTGGTTTTTAAGGTTTTTATTGTGGATTGAGTGAAAGTTTACAGGGCAGATCATCAGCTTTACATTCAACAAATCATATACCTTCTTTCATTACAATGATTATAATCCCCTCCATGTACCATCAGTTAATAGTATTTCTCAATATTCACTTGAGCTTTTTTTTTTAAAAAAACACACAAAACACTCAGGCATATATAATACAACCAAAGGGCACATCCTGGCCACTATCTCTTAGTCCCTCTCTTCCCATGAATCTAGAGTCCTCAGCTGCTCTCCCTCTCCATGACCCCATCTCTGCCTCCATCTCTGGCCTCGCTGCTTCTCTGGATAAGGTCCCGCATTCTGCTTGTGCTCTTCTCCCTTGATGGTCCTAGGGTCCTCTGTTTCTGGACTGTAAGATTAGCCACTCCCCTGTTTCTGCTTCAAAACTTCTACCTTTACAATTGTGTCAACCACAATTAGTCATGATAACAATTACTCACTATTGACTCATACGAATCTTATCCCTATCGCTTTTCACCAGATCCATCTAGACAAGATGAAAACTATTCAGTAGGGACTCTTTCTCCTCCCACCCCCAACTCTTAAACTAAACTCCCTCTTGAAACCTTGTAAGCGAGTCACTTTGTGACTTTATCACCCCTTCGTTTTAGGTAGCCAATGTCTAAGTTGCCCGTCCTTATCTATCCTGTGTACAGAGGGGATAGCATTGATACTTGATGTGAAGACTCCTTCCCTCTCTGTTGGTATTTAGAGTTACTACCTCCATGAGTATATGTCAGGTTCATCAAATTGTTTCCTTTATCAAAAAAAAAA